TTAAAAATGTTCTGTTCCACCGAATTATGACATGTTTGGAATTTATAAAAAATGATATTATTGATATCAAATTATGAAACAATAACTTCAATGAAATTATCAGTCTTGGAATGTGAAGTTTCCTTTATTAGAGTTACAGTACCAATCAATAAGATATTCGAAAACCTGTTTTCCAGTTGATTTCCAACCAATTTTCAGAGTCTGGAGCTCGGCTCTCAAGGTTCCGATCATTTTGGAAATTTTGGAGGGTCTAAAACAGACCTAGATTGAAAATTTTGCATTCACAGAATTTTCGAAAATTCCTAGTTTTTTCAGTACAAAAAAAAGAGCAAAGCGGGTGTCTTTCAGAAATTGCCTCATATCGGAAAAAATAGGAATTTTCGAAAAATTCTGTAAATGCAAAGTTCTCAATCTAGGCCTGTTTTATACCCTCCAAAGTTTTCAAAATGATCGAATACTTGACAGCCGAGATCCAGACTCTTGAATATAGTAAAATTTCAAAAATCGCCCCAATCGGAATTATTTTACCCAGAGAAAATTGTTAAAGGTGGGGGGACATGAAAAAAATAATGTTCTCGGAATTTCGTTCAAAGATGCCCCTCGAGGAGTTGAACTTGTGAAGGCGAGGATTGAGGGTGCGGCGCCGCTACCGACTGAGCCACGCGGGCAAAAAGAAAGCGCACGCCCGATTGCATACATGAAGGCGAGGACGACAGCTGTACGCAGAGTGACATTAAGCGTTGTACACCGTGACGGTAGAATGCATACTCTAGCTACAAAAAAACTACGAAAAATCTCCTGTCCCCCCACCTTTAAAAAGAATGATAGGAGCAATTTTTGGGATTTTTGCCTTTTGCCTATTTCAACAGTAAATCTTTCTTATTTGGAACTTTTTTACAATTTTCTTCATTTTCATCGAATTCTAATATTTCTGAAACTTCTAGAAAACCTGATTCGACTGTTATAGAATTTTGGGAAACAGTAACTAAGCTTCAACATTATTTTCAATTCTTGTAAAAAGCATAATCCAGAATGCTAAAGAACCAAAAAAAAAATCCAAAAGTCAAAAAAAATTGGATTCCTAAAAATTCGAAAAAAATTCACTGTTTCAAAAATTACACATTTTTTCTGAAGCCAAATATTTAATGATAAGTGAAGGCTGAAAACCTTGTCCGGACAAACAGACAAACAGACAGACGTCATTCGGGCTTTCTAGGATCCATTTGATCCCCCAAAATGTGTGTGAGAATTCTTGAATTTTTAGAAATTTCTGAATTTTTCAACTTTATGAAAATTTGTAATTTCGGAATCCGGGACTTTTTTTTCGAAAATTTGAATTTTTCAAATTTCTGACTATTTGGAATTCTATGAAAACTTGGAATTTCTGATTTTCCTGTAATTTCTGAATTTCGGAATTCTGCATATTTCGATTTCTTATTTGCTAAATTTCAACTTTCTGAATTAAGAGTTTTTCAAAAACAGTGATTTTTTCCAATACGAAAAAGGAAGAAAAACTGAAGGATCACTTTTGGACATCCGGACAAATAGACAGATCTACAGACAGACATACCATTGGGCTCTAATAAATTCTTTCAACTTCATAACTGTAATATTTCTAGAAATTTCCAAAATTTGAAATTCAGCTAGCTAGACAATCTCTATGGTCCTAGCATACCGTAAAACATCTAATAGAACGCCATCCAACCCATCTACTTTGCGCTTAATTATCTCGGTTACTGTAGCAGATATCAGAAAGTAATCTACTAATAAAATGTTACTGATATTATTATAAGCATTTTGCTAGTTGGTCACTTTCTGATATCTTTTACAGAAACCGAGATATATGGGCTCAAAGATGACAGGTTGCGTGGCGGTACGGTAGGAGGGGGAAGATTCGCGGACATCCAGACAAACAGACAGATTTGGAACACTTGGAACACTCTGAGTCTAGAGGGATTAAGAGAGGCCTATAGAAAGATACAAAATATGAAGTGGGTTGGAGAGGGAGAAGCCTCTCTCTCTCTCATCCATCCTCCTCATATCCTCTTCATCCTTCCTATATTGCCACTGTTCTCCCCCCTCTATTCACTCTGCGTGTCTCTGTCCTCAATAATCTCTCGTAGATCCTGAGCTCTCTCTCTCTCTCTCTCTCTCTCTCTCTCTCTCTTCGAATCCAGAGATACGCCCTTTTGGCCCCAGGAACGACAAAGTGTGTCTCTTTTTCTCCCTCTCTCCACGGGTCATCATCTCCCACCCTCTGCGTCTCTCTGTCTCTCGGGAATCGCTTTGTGCCGTCTGAATCTCTTCGATCCGTGTACTGTCTCTCGTAGGGTCGGGGGGCCCCGTATTTCTTTCCACTACTCCCAGTTATATGTCTCACCCCCAGTTTTTTCCACCCACAGGGAAAAGGAAAAGAGAGAGAGAGAGAGAGAGAGAGAGAGAGAGACCTCTCCATCCACACCATTTCGTTTTTTTTCATCGCTTCTTCTTCTTCTTTTTTCTCGCTTCTGTGTCCAACACGACCCCCGTCTTCTTCATTTTTTCCTGAAATGGGGTCGAAGACGCAGCCTAGGTGTATACCTGGGTTTCTGGATTTTCTGGAAGATTCTTTTTTCCGAAAAAGTGCATTTCTAGAAGATTCTCTATTCAAAATTCTTGAAAACGTACTTGCGAATTTTGTCACTTTTTGAGGAAAATACACCTAAAAAACAACGGAACCTTGTTCTCTTTCGTTTTCAGCTTACCAAAAATCGAAACTAGGTTAATGTTCCGATGCAAACGCGCTCTACCGCCAAAAACCTATTTTTATCGGGAAAAAGGCTTTGAATTTGAAAATTTTTCAAAATTTCTCAATTTTTTTGAGTAAAATACACCTGAAAACATAGAAATTGTCGAAAACCCGAACTTTATTTAAAGAATTTGAGGTAAATACGCTCTATCGCTCACTTTGTTACTGTAGAAAGAATACTGTAGGAAAAACGCGCGGGAAAAAGGTTTTTTTTGGAATTTTTGACCTATTTTCACTTGAAAATCGCTATAAATTTGAAAATTCACACCGAAAAATGGGTTTTTTGTCGTTTGATGAATATTTTTCGATGTCAGATCAAAAACCTTGATAATTTGTGTCTCATGCAAATTTCGGTAGATTTTTCTGGCGATTAGATCTGATTTATAACCTTTTTAGCGATTTATCGAGGAATTCTGATGATTTTCAGGTCTCGACACGAAAACTACAGTAAAATTCTCAAAATTTTGATTTTTCCTCGATTTTCAATGATTTTTGATAATTTTCGACGATTTTCTTGCGATTTTTCGGATTTTTCACCGGAAAATTACCGAAAAAAACCTGCTGAAAATCGAGATTTTCAGCGTTTTTAAGCCTCAAAAATTATCATTTTTCAATTCCCCGCACTTTTTTCTTCTGACCCATTTCGTGTACTCCTCGAGGACAATAAGTTTTTATTCGCCGGGAAGCCGAATTTTTTGAATTATTCCGCTATTTTCAGCCGATTTTCCACAATTATTCTTCTGACTTTTGTGTTTTTGTAGTCTTTCTTTGTACTTCACCCACTCATTTTGCAAAAAAAAAGACAGAAACACAATTTTTCTGACTTTTGATTTATCAGAAACTAGAAAATTCTGCATTCTGTCGTAGTGGTGTTTACAGAATTTTTTGAATTTTTTAATAAAAAACGCAAAAAAAAATCGAATGAGTGGGGTGTTATGTGGTCGAGAGGTGATATGAAAAACAACAAAAAAAGATAATAATAAAAATGAAGAAGCTGAAAATAATCATATCAAATGGGGGCGAAAAATATAATCAGTATACACCTAATCAGAAAAAAATGCGAAGAAAAATTCGAAGATAAAAATTTGGATTTTTGAAAAAAAAAATTTTTTTTAACAAAATTTTTAAAAAATTAATTTGTCAAATAATCCCCTTTTTTCAATTAAAAAATCGAATTTTTAAACATTTCAGCCATTGAAAATCGCTCAAATTTTTTTCAAATTCAAAAAAAAATAGGCTCCACCCCTTTTCCCCAAAGCTCCGCCCACTTTCTCTATTCCTCTTATCTCTCGGTTTCCATAGACATAATATAGGCAAAAAAAGCAGGGAAAATTGTTTTCCCATTACTTTTTTCCCATAGTGTCGCGGATTTTTCCTCCTATTCGGTTTGACGTCATCTGAAAGGGAAAAGAAGCTTCACCTGTCTTTTTTTCCTTGGATTTGAAGATTTTCAGATTTTCAGCTGGTTTTTTTCTGGCTGGAAAGTTGATTTTTTTGAAATTTTATTACTAAAAAATGTCTTCAAAAGTCAGATTTGGACATCCCGACAAACAGACACACAGAGAAGTTGTTAATTTCCGATGAAAATGGCGATTTTGAGTTGATTAGCAATGAAGCGCACTTGCTGACTTGGGAAATTTGAAAAAATCGATTTTGAGGCTGATTTTAAAGGGTTTTCTTCTGATAAAATCGATTTTATGGAAGAAAATCCATTAAAAAAGCCTTAAATTCGAAATTTTCAAAATTTCCCGAGTCAGCAAGTGCGCTCCACTGCTAATCACCTCAAAATCATTGTTTTTCATCGGAATTTTCAAAAATTTCAAAAATGAATACAAGGAAGATCGAATTTTTTCAAATTCCCGCCAGATTTTTTGAAAAATTTGAAACCGAAATTTTTTTTTGAAAATTTTCGAAAAAAAACATTTTTTTTTCGTTTTTTTTTCAAAAAACTTCAAATTCCCGCCTAAAAATTGGAATTTTTGAAATAAAAATTTTTGAAAAATCTTTTTTTTTCTCTATTTTCGCTCAAAATTTCAATTTCCCGCCCAGAATTTTCGAATTTTTCTCTTTTTGCCTCTAATATTCCCAAAAAAAAACTACAAAAAATCAATTTTCAGCCCCTTCTCTCTTCGCTGCGGGACCCAAAACCTCCTCTTCCCCCCAATTAGCCACCCTAATTACTCTCTTAATTACCCTCCCCCCTAATTAGTGAATGGTTCGACGTCACGACGATGATTGTGAGGATGAGGAAACGAAAATTAGTAAAAATGACGAGCAAGAGGCATGGAAACAGGCTCTACTCACCGCAAAGGATAATTTACCTGAGAAGGTGATTATTGATTGAAAAATCGATTTTTACAAAAGTCGATAATTCGAAAAAATGTTGAAAAATCGATGAAAAACAGCCAAAAATAGCTGAAAATAACCAGAAAATCGGTTTTCAAAAAATTGCTGTAAATCGATTTTTTGAAAAATCGATAATTAGAAAATCGCTCAAAAATCGATAAAAAACACCGAAAAATCGAAGAAAAATAGTCAAAAAATTAGTGAAAATAGCCCGAAAATCGATTTTTCGAAAAATCGATAAAGTGGAAAAATAACCAAAAATGAGCAAAAACAAGTTTCAAAAAGTACGATTTTTGGACAAAATTGTTCAAAAATCGATAAAAATGAAATTTTCAAATAAAATTTTTTTTCAAAAATTTTTTTTTCAAATTTGAAAATTTAAAAAATCGATTTTTCGAAAAATTCCAGGCTTCCGGCCCGCTCGTCGCTCTTCTAGAAGGCACGTCTGGCCATCACCACTGGACAGAAACCAATCATCCACGACCCACATTTTGTAATTATTGTCGAGAGAAGCTGAACGGTGTCCCATGGCACGGTTACACTTGTGATGGTAAGCAGTTTATTGGGGCTTTTTTTGGCTGAAAATTTCAGCCAAAAAAATACGAATATGAATTTTTTTGTTTCGAATTTTGTGATTTTTGAAACAATTAAAAATTCAAAAAAAATTAAAGTGGACATCCGGACACACAGACAAACAGAAAAATTCCAATTGTTTTTAGTTTTTTGTGCCAAAAACGTTCAAAAATCGATTTTTCTAGAAAATCCGACAAACTCATGGCCTAGAAAGGTCATGGCCTAGAAAATCCAAAAATTAGGTCATGGCCTAGAAAATCCAAAAAACTAGGTCATGGCCTAGAAAACCCAAAAAGTAGGTCATGGCCTAGAAAATCTAAAAAACTAGGTCATGGCCTCGAAAATCTAAAAAACTAGGTCATGGCCTCGAAAATTCAAAAAACTAGTCCATGGCCTCGAAAATTCAAAAAACTAGGCCATGGCCTAGAAAACCCAAAAATCTAGGTCATGGCCTAGAAAATTCGAAAATAAGGTCATGGCCTAGAAAATCCAAAAATTAGGACATGAAAAATTAGGCCATTCCGGTTAAAACGGCCTAAAATTGGCCAAAAAAAACGCGCTGAAATGGACATTCGGACACACAGACACACATAAAAATTCCAATTTTTGTGGCTTTTCAAGCCAAAGATAGCCGAAAACGGTCGAAAAATCATCAAAATCTGGACATCCGGACACACAGACACACAAATAAAACAGCTTAAAAGTGACCGAATTTCCGATTAAAACGCATAAAATGGACATCCGGACATACAGACAGACAGTGGGCCTAGAAAATTCTCATATTTTTGCAGTTTGCAAAGTGAAAGCGCACCGAAAATGTCGTGATAGTGTGACGGAGCCGTGCAAATGGACCAACCAATCATCGATTCCCCAACATTTACAATTCATCAGCCCTGAGAATACCCTTCTACCCCATCAATGGATGGAAGGGAACCTCCCGATGCCAGCGAAATGCTCGGTTTGCGAAAAACCGTGTGGTTCGGTGCGGAAATTGGTGGTATGTCGGGGGTTTTTTATTTGATTTTGGCGGCAATTTAATTTTTTTTTTGAAAAAAAAAAACATTGTCGATTTGAGCCAAAATTGGCTTGTTCCAAGCAAATTTTCAGCCATTTTCAGTCAAAAAAATTTTTTTTTCGAAATTTTACATGATTTTCAATGTTAATTTTAGAATTTTAAAGCCAAATATTTGGTTTGAAACAGTAAATTTTGGTCTAGAAATCTTTTTTTTTCGAAATTTTGAAATTTTTGAATTTTCGAATTTTTGAATTTCTGAATTTTTTAACTTCGGAATTTTTTAATTTTTGAATTTCTGATTTTTTGATTTATTGGATTTTCAGAATTTCTGAATTTTAGGAATTTTAGAAAAATTGAAAAAAAATTTTTTTTTTCGAAAATTTCAAATTCCCGCCTAATCTAAAGAGTCCGAAATTCATGAAAATGCCCATTTTGCAGATTGAAAATGCTTAAAACGTTGAGGAAAAGAGCGATTTTTGAAACCGAAAAATTTTTTTTTGGAAATTTTCAAATTCCCGCCCGACCGAATTCGCCCCGCGAAATTTGAAATTTTCGGAATTTTTCGCAAATTTTTTAAATGTCTTGGTCTAAATTTTGCAAAATTGAATTTTTTTTGAAATTTTCAAATTCCCGCCCGACCGCGAAATTCACTTTTTTTCAAATTTCCAGGATTATCGTTGCATCTGGTGTGGCTGCTGTGTCCATGACACGTGCATTGCTCAGCTCGCCCGTTCGTGTAGTTTGGGTCATTCGGCACTTTCAGTCATTTCTCCGTTGGCACTGAAATCGGTCAGTCCCAATGGAACGGCGTTGTTGAGAGAGGAGGCATACGGTAGGTGAAGGATGAGCAATGGCGAAAAAATCGGGAAAAAAAAACTGAAAATTGGCTGAAAATTTTTTTCTTGAAATTTTTGATTTTTCAGCTTTTTTTTGGCTGAAAATCAGTTTTTTTTTTCAAAAATTAGTGTGTTTTTCTTACTTATCTTAATGAAAGCTTCGAAATGAGCCCAAACTCGACTAAGCTCCGCCCACTTTGATGTTCCAGTCGTGCGTCGCGGTCGGGCGTCACGTGTCCGGGTGAAATTTCAAAATGGGCGGAGCCTAGTCGAGTTTGAGCTCATTTTAAAGCATTTTCAAATTCCAATTTGATGGGATACATTTGAAATGTCCAGTTCTCAAGGAAAAACTCGAAAATTCAAATTTTTTGAAAAAAAAAATTTTTTTTTTCAAAAATTCAAAAAATCTGAAAATTTCAAATTTCCAGGAGGCGACGGACTTCCCGGTGGCAGCCCACTGATTGTACTAATCAACGCGAAATCGGGTGATAGTCAGGGACAACGAATTATCAAAAAGTTCCGGCGGATTCTGAATCCCATTCAGGTTTTTGATATCATCGCGACGGGACCCGATTTTGCGTGAGTTTGGCTGAAATTTGGCTGAAAAAATGAGCTAAAAATAGCCGAAAATTGAAATTTTCAAAAAAAAATTTTTTTTGAAAAATTTCAAAAAAATCCAATTTCCAGACTAACATTCTTCTCGCAACTCGAATCGTTTCGTGTTCTCGTGTGTGGCGGTGACGGAACTGTCGGATGGGTGCTAAGCGCATTCGACAGGCTCAATTTGCATTCTAAAGTGAGTTTTTTGTGTGAAAAATTGAGAATTTGACACAAAAAATCAAGAAAATTGACCCAAAAATGACCTAAAAATCTGAAAAATTGGCAAAAAATGACCCAGAAAAAGTGGAAAATCGATTTTTCGGATTTTCTAGGTCATGACCTAGTTCTTTGGATTTTCTAGGCCATGACCTAATTTTTGGGTTTTCTAGGTCATGAACTAATTTTTGGATTTTCTAGGCCATGACCTAATTTTTCGGATTTTCTAGGCCATGACCTAGTTCTTTGGGTTTTCTAGGCCATGACCTAGTTCTTTGGGTTTTCTAGGCCATGACCTAGTTCTTTGGGTTTTCTAGGCCATGACCTAGTTCTTTGGGTTTTCTAGGTCATGAACTAATTTTTGGGTGCTCTAGGCCATGACCCAATTTGTTGGATTTTCTAGGCCATGACCTAATTTTCGGATTTTCTAGGTCATGACCTAGTTTTCAAAAAATCGAGATTTTTCAGTTTCTAGGTCATTTTCAACTGAAAACATCGATTTTAATCACCGATTTTTCTGGAATTTTTGAATTTTTAGCCATTGCTCAGCTTAAAATTTGTTAAATTTCGCTCAAAATGTTTCAGTGTCAATTGGCAATCCTCCCGCTTGGAACTGGCAACGATTTGGCTCGTGTGCTGGGTTGGGGACACGCGTTCTATGATGATACCCTACTGCCGCAAGTGGTACGAACCATGGAACGGGCACACACGAAAATGTTGGACCGGTGGAGTGTGCTGGCGATTGAGGGTGAGCAATTTGGTCCAAATTGGGCGAAAAATCGGTTTAAAATGGTCCAGAATCGGACTAAATAAGCCTATTCGACTGAAAATGACCAAAAAATCAGAAAAATCGGTCAAAAACTGGCCGAAAATAGCCTAAAACGACCCAAAACTGACTGAAAAAGGGGGCGTGGCCTAATTTATTCATTTGATAAAGCGTGAAAAATCGTCGAAAAACGGCTGAAAATGACCCAAACATGACTGAAACTAGCCCAAAAAAGGGGCGGAGCTTGAAGAGGAAAGTGGGCGTGGCCTTATTTTCCAGCCCAAAAAAAGTGAAATTTTTGAAAAAAAAAATGGTCCGAAAATTTACCTATAATCAATCAAAAGGGGCGGAGCTTCGATAGAAAAAGTGGGCGTGGCCGAATATTTCATTTTCGAAAAATGATCCAAAATGGCCTAAATCGACGGAAAAACTGACCTAAAAGGGGCGGAGCTTAAGAGAAAAGTGGGCGTGGCTTAATTAGTCTCATTTCTCTGTGAATTTTTCAATAATTATTTCCGTGGGGCGTGGCCTAATTAGAAAATACTGAAGTTTTGGAAAAAAATGGGCTAAAAACGTGGGAAAATCTCCAAAAAAGGGGCGGAGCTTCGATGAAAAGTGGGCGTGGCTTGATTTGTTTCATTTTTCAGCCGGTTTTCGGCACATAATAGTACGACTTTTTTCGTTTTTAACGATTTCCCGCTATTTTCAAAGTGGGCGGGGCCTAATTTTTCAGAAAAAAAAGGTCCCAAAACTGACTCAGAAAGGGGCGGAGCTTAGAGAAAAGTTGTCGTTTTTGGCTCAAAATTGATCGATTTTTCTCAATTTTTGCCTTATTCTCAAAGTGGGCGTGGCCTAATTTCCCCACAATTCAAAATTTTTTAGGTCCACAAGCCGATGCGGTCCGTCGCTATGAGGAGCTGGTGATCGAGAGGGTACGGTGTTTTTGGACGCTGAGCAATCACAGGATATCATCCACGCGGCACAGCAACTGTGTCAAACGATTCGAGAGTTGGTCCACAATGTGTCGGGAACGTATTCTAGCATGAGCAATCAGAATATGCTGAGCAATGAAGAGGAGAAGGGTCAGATGACGTCACAGAATTCAGAAGAATCTGAATCGAAAAATTTGAGTCTGGATGATGGAGATGAGACGATACGGCAGACGACTGATACGATGACTGAGAAGTAGGTCGAAAGGGGGCGGAGCTTAATTTTTGAAAAATCGAAAATTTTTGATTCAAAAAACTCCGAAAATTCGACAAAAATCGAAAAAACTCAAAAGTGGGCGGAGCCTAATTTATAATTTTTCTGTCTGAAATTTTGAAAAAAGTGGGCGGAGCCTATTTTCGAAATTCAAGTTTCTGAAATTGAAAAGTGGGCGGAGTCTGTTTTCGAAATTCAAGTTTTTTGAAATTGAAAAGTGGGCGGAGTCTATTTTTAGATTATGTNAGAAAGTGGGCGGGACTTANCTTTCGCGATTTTGGATGGTTTTTTTCTTAAAAATTAGGTCTCCGCCCACAAAAAATACCATATTTAAATTTTTAAAAATTTGTTTAAAGAAAATTCGAAAAATTTAACTCCGCCCAATTCTCAAAAAGTGGGCGGAGCCTAATTTTGAAAAATCGATATTTTGAAATTGGGAAAAATGGGGGAAGCTTAATTTTGGACCTGAAAATTTTATAAAAAAATCGAAAGCATTTTTTTTCAAAAAATTTGGATCCGCCCACTTCTGGCCACGCCCCCTTTTCTTATTGCTATCTCTCGGCTCCGCCCCCATGTGCCATCCATTTATGTCATAAAAGAAGAAGGCCACGCCCCCATTTAGTCCCCCATCCCGATTTTTGGTAATGTTTCTTTCGGGGCTCCGCCCACTTCTGGCCACGCCCCCTTTTCTTATTGCTATCTCTCGGCTCCGCCCCCATGTGCCATCCATTTATGTCATAAAAGAAGAAGGCCACGCCCCCATTTAGTCCCCCATCCCGATTTTTGGTAATGTTTCTTTCGGGGCTCCGCCCACTTCTGGCCACGCCCCCTTTTCTTATTGCTATCTCTCGGCTCCGCCCCCATGTGCCATCCATTTATGTCATAAAAGAAGAAGGCCACGCCCCCCCCCATTTAGTCCCCCATCCCGACTTTTGGTAATGTTTCTTTCGGGGCTCCGCCCACTTCTGGCCACGCCCCTTTTCTAGAAAAAAAAAGGCGGAGCTTCAGAAAATAGTAAATTTCCCATGTTGAAACGTCTAGAAATGCAGATATTTGAATGCCCTGAAAAGTGGGCGGAGCCTAGGGAAAAGTGGGCGTGGTATATTTTCTATTTTTTTTTGTCACGCCCCTTTTTTGGGAAATGGGCGGAGCTTCCAAAAAAAAAAAAGCTGAAAATAGCTAATTTTCAGCCGATTTTTCGCCAATTTCCGAGCATTTTTTCAAAATTTTCAGCTGTAACACGCTGCTCGGAAAACTGGATCGTTTGATGAAATCGCTGAAAGAGGATTCGAATAATCTAGAAGAGTCGGGATTCGAGCCAGGAGACGATGACGAATGCTCCACAGGCGATGAGATGCTACAAAATAGGCGAAAAAACGAGGATTCTGTGGTGAATCGAGCGAATTCTCTCAAAAAAGCACTACGGGAAGTGATTCTGATGGCTGAGAAGGGCATCAATCAGCACTATCGAGAGACAACGACGACCAACAATACGGCGTGCACGAGGAGGGAGAGATTTCGAAAGAAACGCAGCAAAACGACCCCCAGTGTTTTAAGGGTGAGCAATCGAACCGAAAACTGGCGAAAAATTGGTCCAAAATTGGCCGAAAATGGTCCAAAAATGATTAAAAGGGCGGAGCTTCCAGAAAAGTGGGCGTGGCCTAATTTTTTCCCCAGTTCTTTAGCTGTTTTTTAGCACAAAATCGGTCAAAAAATCGTCCAAAAATTACCAATATTGATCCAAAAGTGGCCTAAAATGGTTAAAAAATGACCAGAAATAGTCCAAAAATGGTCCAAAAATGGTCTAAAAATGGTCTAATAGTGGCTAAAAATGATCAAAAATTCTGAAAAATGGCCTAAAATGGTCCAAAAATGACCAAAAACTGACTGAAACGAGTCGAAAATCGTAATTTTCAACAAAAGGAAAAGTGGGCGTGGCCTACTTTTTTTCGCAGTTTTTTTGGCTGATTTTTTTGGAAATTTTCAAAATTTTCAACTTGAATAAATCTACAGTAACCCGAGATACAGTAATCCTATCCTACCGGTGCCTAGGATAACTACAGTTATCCATATTTTTACAAATCCGATGAAAATGAGCCAAAAAGCCCAAAAACATCATAAAATGATTAAAAGATGAAATTACCGTACTCCCCTACAGTAATCCTCCCCCCCCCCTATTTTTTTGGATTACTGTACAGGGTGGCTGAAAAGTATTGAGACACTTGTTTTTTGTCGTATTTTCAAAAATGGAGTTTCAACAAAAGAACCAGATTTATTTTTTCAACAAATGATAGTAATAGAAAAGATATCAGAGGAGATATTCGAAGTTTGAGCCTTCGGCCTTGATGCACGCCTTCAAACGAGCTGGAACAGAAGCGACGGTGCGCCGGAGGTAGTCATCGTCAAGATCATCCCATGCTTTGAGCAAAGCGGTCTTCAGTGAATCCACATTTGGGTGCGATCGAGCCATCACCTTTTCCTCCAAATATCCCCAAACGGAAAAGTCGAGTGGATTCAGATCGGGCGAGGAAGCGGGCCACATGTCCTTGCCCCAGTAGCCAGGGAAATGAGCGTCGAGAACAGCTTTCGTGGATTTCGAGCCATGGGACGGGGCCCAATCTTGTTGAAGAATGAAGGGTTGCTGGCCAAAGTGGCTAGTGACCCACGGACGTAAAACATCCATCAACACCAACTTTTGGTACACATCCGAGTTGATTTTCACATTTCTATCAATGAAAACCAATGGGACTTTACCTTCCGACGTCAATCCAGCCCACACCATCACTGACTTTGGAAAAAGTCTCTTGTTGGCCAGACGACGTTTTGGGGACTTTGCTTCGTCCTTTGACAACAATTGCCGAGCATTCTGTCGGTTCGGAAGCGGCTCAACGTAAAAATTTTCTCATCAGTCCAAATGACTTCAGAGAGGCGGCGCACCTTGAGTGCGTCGAGCAACTTTTTCGCTTTTTCGAGCCGATTCTTCTTGGACTGTTCTGTGAGGTATTGGCCACGAAGGAGCCGATAACTGTTCAGACCCAAGTCCTTTTTCACAATGGATTGAACCGATTGTCTTGAGATTCCGAGCGATGAAGCCATTTGGTTCATGCTGACCGCATCATTTCGTGTGATTCTCTTCTTGATGATGCCACGAGTCCGGCGAGTGTTGACAGTACGAGGTCTTCCGCTTTTCTTAAGCTCCAACACATGTCCTCGATCTTTCAATTGTTGCACAACTCGATAGACAGTTGCTCTCGGAAGAAGAAGTCTTCGAGCGATGTCACCGGTGGAGATGCCGTCGTTGAACAGCTTGGCAATGGTTTGGCGATGAGGAGAAGCTCGCATAACTTCGTGAAGAGATAAAGTGATGGGAAATGGCTCTAATGTCGGCTTATATACGCTCCCTATTTTCGAAATAATACGAAACTTTTCGAAAATACGACTTGGCACGGTGCCAAGATCCATCATAACAAGTGTCTCAATACTTTTCAGCCACCCTGTAGTTATCAAAAAATTATTGTTTTCCGAAATTGTTCCTACTGTAATCCTCAAACTACAGTAATCCATAAAATCGATGGTACCGTATGCTCTATAGAATTTCAGAGGGATACTGTAGTGTCATCAACTACAGTAACCCATCTACAGTAATCCCCTTCCTCCAATCTACAGTACCTCAGTAAACTACAGTATCCTTTGAATAAATCTGCAGTAACCCCTAGATACAGTAAACCTATCCTAACTACAGTACTCCACTTGTTTTTTTAACGAGCTACAGTAATCCATACCAACTACAGTAACCCTTCTACAGTACAACCTTTGAATAAAAGATCTACAGTAATCCTACAGTAATCCAAAATGTTCATTTTACAAGCATTTTTAAGTTTGATAAAAATTCGCAAAAATTCGAAACTACAGTATCCCTAGATAGTGTAGTTTGTAGTCAATTTTTGTAGTTTGTAGTTTGAAAATACTCAAAAAGTGAATGACTTTTAAAAATGACTTTTTTTTCTGGAAAATTGCAACATCAAAGTTTTCCAGAATTTTCTCGAAAATTCTAAATTATCGATTTTTTTTTTGCAGATACTATTGATTTTTTTTTCTTCAAACTATCGATTTTTTGCAGATATCACACTCGAATCTGTCTAGCTCATCGGCCTGCTCCCCACCGTGCTCACCAGCAGAAGAGGGACCAGAATCGGATGGGAAGGAGTTTCGAAGTTCTTCGTGTAAAGCGACTTTCGACATTTCACACTCTCAATCGAGCTCATCCGCCGTGCTCTCGGCTCTTTTTCAATCACAATCCACGAGGAATTTCGAGGAGATTCTGGAGAAACCGTCGATTGGTAAGTGTTTTGGCTGAAAATTGGCTGAAAATGGTCTAAAAACAGCTAAAAACGACCCAAAATCAGACTTGAAAAAAAATAGCTGAAAATGGCTTAAAATGATTAAATATAGTCGAAAAATGGCTGAAAATCGCAAAAAATTGACTGCAAATCGTCTAAAATGGTGTAAAAACAGCTAAAAATGTTTCGAATTTGGCTGAAAATTGGCTGGATTTGGCTGAAATTGACCCCAAAAATGGCTAAAAATAGTCGAAAACGTCTGAAAATGACCCTAAAATGGCTGAAAATGGCCTAAAAACAGCTAAAAATGAGTCGAATTTGGCTTAAAATAGTCGAAAATTTGCTCAAAAATGACATAAAATAGGCTAAAATGACTGGAAATAGTCGAAAAATGACTGAAAATGACCCCAGAATTAGTCTTGAAGTGAGCAAAAAAGTCTGAAAAAAAACAATAGCAAATGAAAATAGCTGAAAATGGCCTAAAAATGGCTAAAACTCGATAATTTTATAGGTACAGTAATCCTTCCCATTTTTAGGATTCATGGATGTGGATTACTGTAGCTCCTCCCACAAGCTACAGTAATCCTTAATCTATGACAACCACAATCATTAGGACTGATGAAAAACAAACTACAGTAATCTCAAAATCAGTGAACTACAGTATTGAATTTTTCTACAGTAATCTCTTCGGCTACAGTGATCCAAAATTATGAACCGCGACGTTTCGAAACCACGACATTTCAGAACCATGCTGTTTTAGAACTATGACGTTTCAGAACCGCGACTTTTTTCGAACGTTGACGTTTTAGAACAAGGACGTTTGAAAACATTTTAGAACGTTGACGTTTCAGAACCATGACGCTTTGGAACCGTGACTCTCTAGAACCGCGACATTTTAGAACTGCGACGTCATAGAACTGCGACGTTTTAGAACCGCGACGTTTCAGAACCTCGACTTTTTAGAACTACGACGTTTCGCAGCTATAACGTTTTAAAACCGCGACGTTTCGCAACTTGAACGTTCTAGAACCGCGACGATGTAGAACCATGGTGTTTGAGAACTGCGACATTTTAGAACCGTGACACTTCGCAACTGCGACGTTTTAGAACTGTGACGTTTTAGAAACGGGATGTTTTAAAACGGCGACGTTTTAGAACTATGACATTTCGCAACCAAAAAAAAATTCTGCCTTCCTTGTCTCAGGGACAAAATTTCCTCAGGGACAAAATTTTGATAACCGCGACATATTGGAACTGCGACGTTTCAGAACCGCGACACTTTAGAACTGTGTCTAATTCCAGGTACCGTACACCCACCAACGCCCGGCGCCACCCGAGAACCATCCACCGCATGCGATGACGACGACGAGGATTCACAAATGACGTCATCTGAATTTCAGAAGACGTCACCAGAAGACTCGACGTCTTCAGACCGCCCGAGAATTCTGTCAGATACGACGTTGAACAAAAAAAAGAATTCGGAGAAAATCAAATCTCAAAGTTTACATCCGATTTGTGGTGGTGGACCGTCTGGAGTGGATAAAATGAAACAAAGTCACTCGGATAGTAGTCTTTATGGTGAATATGGTACGGTTTACAGAGATTTGGGCGCGAAATTTGAATTTTTCGAAACATTTTGGTCTAGAAAAGTCCAAATTTGGCTGAAAATCTATTTTTTCAAAAATTTCAAAAAAAATTTTTTCTGAAAATTCTGAAAATTTGTCTGAAATTTTGAAAAAAAACTTTTTTTTTTGAAAATTTTTTTTCTGAAAATTCTGAAAATTTGTCTGAAATTTTGAAAAAAAAACTTTTTTTTTGAAAATTTTTTCCGAAATTTTGAAAAAAAAAATTTTTTTTGAAAATTTTTTTTCTGAAAATTCTGAAAATTTGTCTGAAATTTTGAAAAAAAAACTTTTTTTTTGAAAATTTTTTCCGAAATTTTGAAAAAAAAATTTTTTTTTGAAAATTTTTTTTCTGAAAATTCTGAAAATTTGTCTGAAATTTTGGAAAAATTTTTTTTTGAAAAAATTTAAAAAAAAATTTTCTCTGAAAATTCTGAAATTTTGTCTGAAATTGTTCCAGAACACCTGGAAGGATCCTCATCGGGATGTGGTGGAGGTGGGACCTCAGGAAGTACCCTCTTACCAGCCCGTGCTTCGGATTCTGCCACGTGGCAACGGGTAAAAGAGCGGAAACGGACGGTTGGCAGCGATTTGGGACTGTCGAGTAGTTCGCATTTGAGAAGGTACAGTATACTTGTCGCCCGAGAAATTTGAATTTTTTTGAAAATTTTCATTTTTTGACTGAAAATTGGATTTTCAGATTTTTCAATTTTTTCAAAAATTTCAAAAATTTTTATTTCTTTTCCTAACCCCCGTTTTTTCTGTGTTTTCCTAACCTTTTTTTATATTTCTTGGCGTGTTTTGACTCCGCCCACTTTGCTAGCCACGCCCCCTTTTCTATTCGGACCTCCTTGACTCCGCCCTATTTCAACCAAGCCACCAACTTTTTAAACGAAATAATAAGCTCCGCCCATTCAGTCCCCTCATTTATGAATATAATGTTTTTTGACTCCGCCCACTATTTTGCGCCACGCCCCTTTTTCACAAAACCAAAATTTTGAATTTCTAAAAATGGGCGGAGCCTAGAACAAAAGGGGCGTGGCCTTTTTTTGAAATTTGAAATGATAATGAAAACTAAATCAATTTGAGCTCCGCCCACTTTTTCCCTGAAGTGGGCGGAGCCTAATGATCATTGCTGATTTTCAAAAAGTGGGCGTGGCCTATTTTTAAATCTTGAAATTTTGTGAATTTTGGATATGTGGAGGAGTACCCGAAAAAGTGGGTGGAGCCTAATTTTCGAATTTTTCCGATTTTGAAAAAAGGGCGGAGCCTAATTATCTAGATTTTTCGTATATGTGGGCGTGGCCTAAAATGTGGGCGGAGCCTATTAAAATTCTACAAGACACTAGATTTTGGAAAATCGAATTTTCGAATATCCTGAGTACCCCCAAAAAGTGGGCGTGGCCTCAAAAAGAGATGGTCTTTAAAAGTGGGCGGAGCCTAGGAAAAAGGGGCGTGGCCTAATTTTCACAATTTCCAATTAATTTTGCATCTTCAAAAATCTGTACAATGCGACTTTTTGACAGACCACGCCCACTTTTGAAAGTTTTGAAAGGTTTTCAAAACTTTCAAAAGTGGGCGGAGCCTAAGCAAAAAGGGGCGTGGCCTAATCGAAACCGTATATTTTCCTCATTTTTGCAGTTGTCGTAACATGTTATCCGGATTTGCGGGTGGCTCACTAATTGCTGAAATCCTCCTATTGAATGCTCGTGTCTTGTCTCAAATGTCTGGAAAAGTGGGCGGAGCCAATTCGCCGCCGCCCACGTCATCGTCTTCAATGAATGGTCCCATGTCCGATTGTCAGACGCCCTTGTATGTGTTTTAATTGATTTTTTTAAAGAAAAAGTGGGCGGGGCTTAAGAACAAAAAACTGAAAAACCAGTTTCTAGGCCATTTTAGGATGGTGGCCTAACTTTTGCAAATTGAGTTTTCTAGGCCACCATGTCAAAACGGTCTAAAAAACGCCCCAGGGACATGTAAGGCCATTTTTAGGGCATTTTGAAGTGGTGGTCTAGAAAACCCCAACTTGCAAAAGTTAGCCCACCATGTTAAAATGGCCTAGAATTGGTCAGATATTCACCTGGTTCGATTTCTAGGTCATTTCAACATGGTGGCC